ATTTCTCTAAATTGTTAAGTTACTATTTTGGTAGCTTCTTAAATTCCCAGTGACAGTTACTAAATGCACTAATTCATAATCTTAGAAATACCATAAATACAAAATCAACAGCTTAATGTTAAAAAATAAAAAAATACCAAAACATTATTGGAAGTGCAAGTGGGAATATGAGTCACAAGTGCTGATCTGTCCTACTCCTATGATTGCATATTTTCTTTCTCTTGCTGACACCTCCCAAATAAGTCCAACATCACTTGTGTGTAGTTACAAACTAAACATCTGATGTATTTCACAAACTATTTACGGGTTGCTATGGTATTGGTATCACATTGTTGACTATGGAGAAAATACATGAGCTGCAATATACATTTCATATTCTCATATGTTTCCTAGAAACTGTAAATGAAAAAATAAGCTTACTTGAAATGGGTCATGAATGTTTATGTAATAGTTAACCGTTATAGCTAAGTAAAAAAATCTGTCCAGGGTATTTTGTGGACTACCATAAGAATTTGTTATTGCTTCAGTTTAATACCATTAGGAAAACTAATCCCTAATTTATGAAATACCATACACAAACTAGTATTCAGAAAAAGAATTAATTCAATGTAATTTGCTACTCAGTGTTAAATACTGAATATTAATACATTCAATTCCAGGAGTATAATGTATAAGGTTCATATTTAAGCAGTTATGAAGTCAAGACCAAGAGGCCTTATAAATTTAGAAATGCAAACAGAAAGCTGACATGTTTTAGTATGGAAAACACAAAGTAATGTGCATGAGAATAGCAGGCATGTAGAAGACCAAATGTTACATATGAAATTTTGTATTCCCTGCTATAGTTTGAGAATTTTCCATCAAACAAGATGGGTTATATTCCAGGGTTAATGAAGTAAATCCATTTGCGGACAGAGAAGCAGTTTAGAAGCTCTTTGAGAAATTAGGCTGGTTTAGAAGTATAAGTAATATTTAACAGTGTGCATATCTGTGCTGGAGATGGATCTGCTTGGCTCCATAGGACCAGCTGCTGAAATGACATTTTATTCTTCAATCTCTTGCTTATACAGCAAGATGTACTGCCAACTGCTTTCTCAAGAGCTGCTCTGTTCATGTCCAAGTCAACTGGTGGGTCATTCTCCTTGTTCCAGTTTGTTTAGGCTTTGATTTGGAAGTCTATACTCCCTTAATAAACATGAACTATTAATTTGTCATTGTCACCTGAATTTAAACACCTAGAAATTACATGAACGTGTTGTTCTAAATATAATCACCGTGATAGAAATCAGCTTGTTCAAAAGGTGCAATCAGTCATCAAGTTAAAACTTTTTATTTGATTGACTGGTTCAGCTAATACAGACAGTGCTTTATTTTAGTGGCTTGAATAATATGATACTTGTCATGCAGGATGTTATTTATAATAAAAATAATGTTCTAGCAGTCAAAGAACATTAAAAGTAAAGTAAATTATGAAGTGTACCTCCAGCTCTCATTAATTGCAATGGACCTTTTAATTACTATACTACATACTTTTCCTGACTAGGTAAGTAGATCTTTACGGCTTTTTGGTTTTGTTTTGTTTTTTTTTTTCTGAATTCTGAAACCCTTCTGTACCTGTATATATCTATCTATTTATGTAAAGTAAGCCTGTCTAAATGAAATCCTGGAAAGTCCTAGATTGAAAACATCCCACATAGCTCAGATAATAAAACTGAATCCTATTGATCAACATTTAAATTAGTCATCAAAGTAAAAATACTTCCTTCATGACTAGGAAAAGTTTTAAATGTTTTAAGGGTTGGAGTTAATTTCATAAGGGTGATTAAACTGACAGTGCACTTAAGGTGAAAAGAAATCTTGCCAATTGCTATCTCTTCTAGGAGACATGAAATCTTTCTGATTTCTCATTCAAAAATGTTATACAGCTCAATACTTTTGCACTCAGGTGCATTGAGTTGAACACTATGCCTTTTCTGTGCCAGAATTAATGTATTTAAAGCTGTATCTTTCTCAGGTTTATCCTTAGGGTACCATCACATAATGCCTCTACTGAGATATGTGCTTTACAACATACACTTGCATTTCCAGAAATCCTAGACAAATCCCAGTGCCTGAAAGCAGTCATGCAGGTTTCTGTAAGAAAATGTGAGACAAAACCTGGAAAGCAGGGCTATTGATTGAATTCTTTTGCTTTTTATGGTGTTCACTTTTTTAGGTATTTCTATAAATGTAAGCGTATGTGAGTGTATATATATGCATACCTGTATTTATGTGTATATATACGTGTGTATGTATATACATATGTAAAGACATACATAGTTTTAGAGTTTGAGGTTTTTTTTTGTTTTTACAGTAAATATTTTTCTTTTTCTTCTAAAGAACAATATAGCTCCAGTGGCTTGTGTTTTCTTAATCTCTACACAGTAACTCTGGAGAAACTTGCTTATGAACTTAAAAAAGAGCAGTAGTGGACTCATGTGCCTAGCAAATATTGGAATATAGAATATAGTGTGTTCAGTGGTGGATTTAGCAGTGCTAGGTTAAAGGCTGGACTCAATGACCTTAAGACTTCTAAACCTAAACAATTCTATGATTCTGTGACCCTTGGCTGGTACCATAGGGTTCTTTTTTCTCATATCAGTACACACTTGGCAATAAGCACCTAAGAGTGCTCTCTGTTGTTCCATGGTGTCTTTCAATTTCTCAAAGGACATGACTGAACCATATACACCTGTACTGTTGTAGACTTAGAGCATGCGACTCTTCCCTGTCTGGTCCTTGAGCAGTAGGTGACAAAAAATTCTCCTGTTTGAGGGTAGATTAAAATTTATCTAAATTTACAGCTACAATCCATCTGAAATGCTTGAGAGAATAAGAATCTCTGGATATATCAGCTGAGCTAGGAAAAAAAGCATCCTTCATTTAAACCTAAGCTAATCTCCTTTACACAAACTTTGTATATTTATTATGACTGAATTCATGATTTATTAATGGACTTCATAATGCTTAATAATACATTCTGCACTTGCTTTTCAGTATATGTAATTTTTTCAGCCATAATCACTGCAAATCCGTTTCCTGAAAACATATTTAGAATATTTATAATTCACAACCAATATTACAAGAAGAACTTAGTGCTTTTTTTTCCTAAATGCATTGAATTGATTCAGAAATAAAATACATCTTCTACTTAATTGTAGATGGAGAGTTTTAAATATCCCATTCATTATTACCAGTACTACATGCTTAAAGAAATTCTACAAAAGAATTAAACTTGAAGGTAACAGAGGAATAATGCTTCATAGTTTAAAAATTAACGGAATGCCTTTAAACTGTGCTGTAAAGAAAAAAACCTTGAAAGTGTGGTCTGCTTATTAATAATTATTTGGAAACATCAATGCATAATACTGTTTAATATGTTTTTTCTTATCCAAGATTTTCACTGCATATATTGTTGATGTTGCTGAGTAGCTTGCTTTTTTTTTTAATACAAAAGAAAGGAAGGATTTAGGGCAGTGTCTGGAGACACTTTCAAAAAGTGTTCGCTTTTTGTAAATTGAATGGAAACATTTCTCTTTTTCAAGAACACCTTTGTAGTGATGTCTTCTTGCCTGGCTTCTGCCATCCAGGAAAGCCTGTGACATGTTTGTAGCAGCTATCATATTTTTCAGGTTCCTTAAGATTTGACATGCTTAGTGAAGCCAGAGTTAGTGAAGTCTGGTCAGAGTGTTGTCATTGTTACTTTAGTCTGGTTTTTAATCTGCTATTCTGGTGAGGGATCTGCATCCTGTAGAGTGTTTATTCCTCTAGTAACCAATTCTCATCTTGTAAGTCCTTGTTAAGGAAGTGCAATAAACACCAGTAAGGTGGAAGGCAGGTAAACCACTAGCAAAAGTTTTTCTAGTTTACAAGTTGTCTAAAATAGTAGTTGAATTGTATGCTGCTGGTATTATTTTGTAATAGTCAGCATTCCAACAGCATGACTCTTTCCCTCCTCAAGAAATCTTAGTCTATATTTTCTTTTTGTTTTTACCATGAAATCAGATGTTTCTTTTGCTGTGAAATTAAGTTTATTTCAGCTCATATGTCCCTCTTCACTAGTAGAATTTTCACTGCTGACCAAATGAGGCTTCTCCCGTTTTACATTGTAACCTGAGTCATGTTATTTAATAGGATTTTTACGAATCTTATATTTTTTCTTCGTTTCTTTCTAACAAATGTTTTTTTTCTTAAAACATTAATGAAGCAGCTTTCTTTCCTTGCAAATAAGTGTTTAAACTACAAAACACTTGAAGTCACTTGAATACTTTTATTGTCTGGAAATTACAGTGAAGGGACCTGATTTGGTCAGCAGTGAAAATTCTGTTGGTGAAGAGGGGCACAAGCATATGCAGGTCTGTTCCTTTAAAAGAAAAGCTGAAGTCATCATTTGCAGCCTCACTAAATTCAGCTTCTGGATTACATGTAGCAGGTAGTGAACAAGTACACCAGAACTAGAACTGTGTTTTTGTGTCACTATTGTTTTATTAAGTTTACTTGAGATCAAAGCAAAAGATGCAAAACCAGCTGGACATTTGGACATATTGGGCAAACAGGTTTAAGCGTCACATTTTACAGATCCAGTTTGGTAAAATTTGGTGCTAGAATTCTTAGTTTCTGACACTGGGCTTCCATGCTGTTAGTACACACAAAATCTGGTCTGAATTATTAGTAGTTCTAGTTCTGGCATGCTTGTTTGCTACCAGCCATATATAATCCAGAAGATGAACTTAGTGATGTTACAAATTAGGGCTTGAGTTTTTCTTTTATAATAGATTTAATGCCATGTTAAAAGGGTGCTGGTCTGATAACTTTGATACGAAAAAATTTATGGCACACTTTTAAAAAGAATGAATATAAATCATAAGAGCTAGTTTTCTGTCACCTTTTTTTTAGTGTGGATAAACATTTCAACATAAAAGTAAGTGTATAGAAACATTAATTTCACATTTTTATTACAGGCTAGAGGAAGAAAAGAATATTTTATCAGAATTGCAAGAGGACTTGGACAAGTTGATTTTATGGTTAGAGGAAGCAGACAGAACTGTTGATACTCCCCTTGAACCAGGGAATGAAGACCAGTTAAGAGACTGCCTTAGCAAAGTAAAGGTATTGAGTTTTACTATTAATGTTTTCTTACTTTAGCAATTCTACATTAAAGAAAAGTTAATACTATTTTCAAGGGAATTCTTCTGCCATCAAACTCGGCATTCACTTTTTTAGATAAATCACAGCAGTGGAATTTCCAAACTCATGTACAAATATATATTGATCATACTAAAATAAGAAAAATAATGGAAAATATACTGAAAGAAAAATGCCTATCTTGTCAATAGGTAATTAATCATTATCTTTTTCATCCTCATTTCTTAATTCAGAATTTGTCTTTTATAACATTTTTATAACATTTCTCTATAGGTGTCTTGTCACGTACGAAATGGTATTCAGTATTTCACAAGAGTATCCAGAATTGCATGCATAATTATAAATGCCAACTGGTTAAAGTGTCACTGCAACATTTTCTAGACTCAACATCTAAATGACGTTTTAAAAATACTTTAAAAAAAGCCCCAAACACTGTATTAAATATTTGCCTTTAAAGGCTGGAATATTTTCATGAAGATGTTAGATCTTTTCGACTATGGTACAGCTAATAAATACATTCTGTAGAAGTTGCTCTCTTTAGTTTCTGAAATGTGTTCAATGGAATGACTATGCTTAATAATTTACTCAATAAAATTTATACTGTAGCTGGAAAATGCATATTACTTATAAAATAATTGCCTAAAGGTTTCCTGTTCTCTCTTGAGGATAATAACTAGTTATCTTTTATGCCAAACCAAGTTGAACAATTTCAGCAAATGATGGAATAGAGCATTAAAGAACCTGAAGGAAACTCAAAACCTGGCAAAAATCTAAAAGATTCTTTAATAAATATCTATCTCTAAGTTTCTTAAAAAAAAAATAAATGAGGAAGTGAAGACTTAACCATATGCTGAGTTTGTCCCTGACTGTTTAGCATCAGATGTCAGCAAGCTGGACAGAGAATTTGTGTTGCTTTGCCACCATTGTCAAGGATATCACAATGAAGGTGAAAAAATATTTATAAGGGGTGTTAGATGCATCTTGTAATTTCCAGAAAGGAATAAAGTTTTAAAGTCTAAATTGATTGTTTAGAATCATGAAAGCTCATGCTTTTCAGATATATACAAATATTTCCCAATTGCAGTATTCTCAAGGGATACATAACCCAAAATTAAAAGTGTTATCTCTTAATTGTATGTCATTTTTACTGTCCATCTTGTTCTTGAGCAACACAAAAGAGAATGCATCCTAATGCAGCAAATAACATATTGGCTTGCAGTGTGGTTCATTTCATACATACCTGCTTATGTTAATAAAACCTCCCAAAACCCCCAAACTTGAAGAACTTTGTCTTCTAGTTACATTCTCTTCACTTGATATATCGAGTTACTTTGACAATACAAGCTTGCACCAACTGCATATGTGGTGAGGTGGTACATTTAGGTGATGCCTTGCATCCTTTGGTTTTACTTATGGGGTTTGGGGTCTTTTTATGAACATGCATGAACATTCTTAATTATGAGGCTAGACTGGACAGCTTTTCTTCACATACCATCTGGGTGACTTGTGTTCACAGCATTGGACATGTTAAAACCCTTCTCCAAAGTGCTTGCTGTTTGCCATATTAAAATATTGTTAAAATTCATATACATGAGCTATTGAGTTTCCAGAAGTGGAATTTGTCATGTAGCAGTGTTTAATACCTGAAAAATCTCATATTTTGGCATTTAGGACTCTCTTTAGTCTTGATCCACTAATATAGTCTCTTATGGGGAGTTTTAGCCTTCTGCATTCAGAAAGCAATGGTTATTTTGTCTTTAATTGAGTATATTCCTTCAGCTGATACACAAATCAATAAGGGTGAAGATAAGAGAGCTGAAAAATTCTACCACAGTACATCTTAACTGCTGTATTTGTCTGTTCCAGTTAAGAGCTGAAGAGCTGCCGCCCCACAAGGGAATACTGAAACGATTAAATGAAACTAGAGGAACAGCGCTTGCAAGTGCATCACTGAACCCAGACAAAAAACATAAGCTAGAGAGTACGCTGAAGGAGGCTAACCATCGCTTGTTGAAGGTTAGACATATTACTAATGTAACTGTGGTATAAAATTTTGATCTGCAGCAAATATTTTCATTATATATTTTCTGGTATATATTGTTTTTCCCCGTATGAAGAGACATTTGTATGCATAATGAAAGTGAAGAAGAAAAATGTGTACAGTACACTGCTATAAGAAACAATGACAGCAAACCAAGACTATTAGCCCCTGAAATGATGATGATGTATCCGAATATACTCCTAAATCACAGGTCTGCTGCTTAAGGGTGGAAAGCAGAGTAACAGTTTTGTAGCCTGATTGTTTTGAGGGTACAGCAAATATTCCAGTTCTTGTGACTCAGGTGTGTCAGGGACAGCAGCAAATGGCTGATTGCCTTTATGGAAACACTTCCCAGTTCTCTCCTCTTCCCAGCCCCAAGGTGGAAGTCGCAGCCTTGGAAGCTGTTTTATTCTCCACCACGCTTTTTCCAACACTGAGCTTTGATTTCTGCTTTCTGTGTAGGGAAGTACCATTCATTTTGCTTTCTGGGATCTCCATACTCATGGAGAAAAGTAAAAGAGTATTTTGCTATATTCTGTTGTTGAAGTAGCATATTTCTGTGTTGGAAACTGGTGAAAGTGAGTAGCAAATCTGGTCAAAAGAGGTAGCTAATTTGACTGCTCTCATGTATCTTCTGTTTCTTATGCAGCAGAAATGGTAGAGAGCATTGTACAGAGGACCACAACCCAAGGTATGGATAGCCTGGTCAGAAGAGGTCAATGTAGAATTAGCTGAGAAACTTTGAGACTGATGTCAAAACCAGAATCTCTGTGGTATCTATTTATTGAAGTTACCAGGATGCCAGGAATAAAAGAAAGAAGGATTCATTGTGTTTAGTTCTGTTGGAAAGAAGGTGATGAGATTTTCTTTGGGGTACCTTACTGAAAAACAAGCTAGAGTTTCCGGTCAGAATACTACGTCCTGAGGGTTTTACCATTACTGTGAACACAGCTGAATTTCAAGCACAGATCTAGGATATAAACATAAAGTTATTTGATGTGGGACTCCCATTAGTTTGTTACTAACAGAAACAGTCTGGCAAGGTTCAGAATATTAGCTAATGGCTCAGGCAAAAGTGGATAATAAATATTGATCACATTCAAGACTCCAAGTTGGACATATAAATCATAATTTGGGTGCTTGCACAGAAGTATCTCTCTACAAATGAGTTTCTGAGATCAATGTATATAGAAGAATTCAGACCACCTTGAGATCAAATATAGTGTTATTTACCAGCTGAAATAAACATTTACATAGCTGAATTTAGGCACCACAATTTGTATATCTGAAATGTAGTATTAAAAGGACATTAGTTTTCATGAAAAAATACTTTTAGTAAGATGACACAAATACATTTTAATGAAATCTGTAATTTGCCTCTGAATTTAAGTTTTTAAAGATTAGTCATATACCTAAAAACTTAGCATTTTAATTTTCAGCTTCCTGTTGCAGAATGTTCCAAGTTAGTTGTCATAGTCAGGCCACCTATGAATGTTGTTAAAAGTAGTTAGGTCTCAATCAAATATGGGGGATAAAGCTACTGTTTAGTGATTCATACAATCATAGAATAGTTAGGGTTTGAAAGGACCTTAAGATCACCTAGTTCCAACCCCACCTCCATGAGCAGGGACAGGACACACTAAACCATGGACAGGGGTAGAGCATTTGATGTCATCTACCTGGACTTGTGCAAAGCATTTGACGCTATCCTGCATGACATCCTTGTCTCTAAATTGGAGAGACATCAATTTGATGCATGGACCACTTGGTGGATAAAGAACTGGCTGGATGGCCACATGCAAAGGGTTGTAGTCAATGGCTCAATGTCCAGCTGGAGACCAGTAAGGAGTGGTGTCCCTTAGGGATCAGTGTTGGGACCGGTTTTGTTTAACATCTTTGCCGGTGACATGGACAGTGGGATTGAGTGTGCCCTCGGCAAGTTTGCCGATGACACCAAGCTGTGTGGTTCAGTCAGTAATGATGGAGGGAAGGAATGCCATCCGGAGGGACCTTGGCACGCTTGTAAGGTGGGCTGATGCCAACCTCATGAAGTTTAACCATGCCAAGTGCAAGGTCAGAGCAATGCCAGGCACAGCTACAGGTTGGGCAGAGAAGAGATTCAGAGCAGCCCTGCAGAGAAGGATTTTGGGACTGTTGGTTGATGAGAAATGAACATGAGCAGGCAGTGTGCACTCGCAGCTCGGAAAGGCAACCATGTGCTGGGCTGCATCAAAAGGAGCATGACCAGCAAGTCGAGGGAGGTGATCCTGCCTCTCTACTACGGTGCTCCAGGCCAGATTGGACAGAGCCTTGAGTGACATGGTTTAGTGCGAGGTGGCCTTGCCTAAGGCAAGGGGGCTGGAACTTGGTGATCTTAAGGTCCTTTCCAACCGTAACTATTCTGTGCTTCTATGTTCCTATGTCACACAAGACTCCCATCAAGCTGGCCTTGACCACTGCCAGCGAGGAGCGTTCACAACGGCCTTGGGCAACCTGTTCCACTGCCTTACCACCCTCACAGTAAAGAACTTCTTCCTTATATCTAACCTAAACTTCCCCTGTTTAAATTTGATCCCATTACCCTTTGTGCTATCACTACAGTCCCTAATGATGAGTCCTTCTCCAGCATCATTGTCTTTACAAGTTTATGTCTCCTAGATCTGAGTAAAGTGTCTGGCAAATTATTAGGCTTGGAATTTACCACGTGAAAACGTCCATTTACTCCTAAAAGAGATTAAAACCAGAAAATTGAACTTCCATTTGAGATCATTACTTAAATGCATTATTTTTTTTATTTCTATTTTATTTTCAGCTGTCTACCTACCTATGGAGATGTAGATCTGAGTTCTCTCTGGCCCTTAATAGCTGAATCTAAGGAATCTGAAAAATGCAGTATATATATATATATATATATAAATGAACAGAAACTGAATTTGAAAATCACAAAACTGAAATCCATACATCTTCTCTGACGGTGTTCTCAGAATGTTTTCTATTTCCCATATGAACTTGACAGAGGTTAAAAAAAATGTATATATATGTAGAAAAAAGTTCAAAACTTATTAGGGTTTCTGTCAGATTTTTCCAGTTAAACTGAAGGAAAAAATCTTTATTTTTTCATTTGCATTTTTTTTCTTTTACTCACAGTTTGTGTAGGAAGCCTCAATTTTATTTTATTTTTTTTTTCACTTTCTCTCTGACAGTCTAGGGTCTGTGGTAAAATTAGAAATCATGGAAAAAAGTGTGCAGGCCTGACAGAGGGACATATGTTGTCTTCCTTCAGTTAGAGATCTGTAAGCACGGAAAAAAAACACCACAGATTTTTACTGTAAGCCAAAGCTGAAGCACATAGCTCTGGCACTTTTGCATCAGGCAAACTTGCGCAGGTCACCAGAGGATGGTTCAGTTGTCAGTAGTTTTGATGAGGATATATTTTTTTTATTCTTTTTTTTTTCCTTGACGCACCATGGACAAACATGAAATCTCACACAGAGATTTGTCTGGAGGTTTTCTGTTTCTCCATCCTCTTCTAAGAGTCTATCTTACATTTTAATACTTTGTTCTTGGTTGTTTATTTTGTTTTCTGGCATCTCTGCTAGCAAATGAACATGTAACAATCTACCATTTCTGATTATCTCATATTGCAGGATGGTATTATTTTCAAAGTAGAAAACATACATGACAGTCACATAAATAATGTAAGATGGGTCCTTATCTGGCTTACACTAGAGCAATTCTGTTTATTTCACAGAAGCTGTGACAATTTACACCAGCTGAGAATGTAGCCAAATATCTCCTAACATTATGACAAATTTTTGTTTTGCCTTGATCTGCCAAGCAGGGGAATGGGGGACAACACCTGAGAGTCTTAACCTTCAAGGTGACACATTTGAAATAAGTCAAGTTCAAACTTTCTTTATAGTGACAGAAACTGTTGCCCTACAGCAATGGAATAAGCTGAGAAAAGAAATTGAGTATGAAAGAAATTGCAGTCACATAAAAGAAGCGTTTTTACTTTTGCTTCTGTATTGTCTTTGCTTTTGGGTGTTTATATCATGTGTTGATGACCTTGAGAATTGATACATGAAGAGTTTTTCTTCCCTTGGATATTAATAATTTTAAAATGACATTTCTTTAGACAACTTTATTGAATAGTGATTCTAATAGGCTGCTGCCTCAGACATAGTTTGAGAATGAAGATTAAAGGCCATATTTGAAAGTATGACTTTACATTCTAACCTGGTTTTACTTACTGTACCCTCTCCAAAGCCAGTATTTCTTGTAAAAATGAAAGTACCGCTATCTTTGTGAAGTCTTAACAGTATGAAAAATGAACTGGTTTATAACCATTTTTATGCCTTCACATCAAGTATTTTTTGTTTATTTTCAAAACTTAAAGTATCTTCTGCTGCGATAGCCAAGTAAGCTAGCCACCTAGTGCTTCAAAGCATGCGAAAGGAGGTACAAGGCACTGGAGTTTGTGATGAATTTAGTTCTTGTCATATACCACCTGCCAGGGTGTATAACAGACCTGTAATGGCTTTCTTACCTTTTACTGTGCAGTAAATGAATTGATAGATTATGCCTGAGACTAGTGAACCATGGAATCAGAGGTTTGTTGGAAAGAGTTTATTACTCTTTAATATTATTCTTGGTCTGGTGTCAGCCAAGAGGGATGAGCTAGATTATCTGAAAGTAAGATGGATGCCAAAATCAGCATTCTCCTCATTTATCCACCTTAGTCTTTGCAACATCTACTGTATGTATTATGAAGGTTATTATAAGTGCCTGATGGAGACATTTTGTTTTGCTACCTTTTTTAATTTGTCAGCTAGTATTAGAACTAATTACTAGACACTGAAAAGACTATTTCACTGTTTACTGCCACAGCAAATCAATTTGTACTATATGGAAAAAAAAATAAAAAATGGAGTGGAGTGACATGGCTGTAATTTGTGAAAATTTTCTGTACCAC